GTTTCTTCTCAACTGAGTGACGAGGCTTGTGAAGAATTTGTCGCTATCAGTGATAACATGATTGAATGCTTACGGCAAATTGCGGAGAAAGTGCAACAATGGGCGAAACAACAGGGCCCGGAAGTTCTGGTTTGTTTGCCAAGATAATTATAAACCACTTTTCTTAAGGAGATTTTTAACGATTTAATCCTCGTTAACTTTTCCGGCAATCAACAGATGCCGCAGAGTCGCTACTTTTTTTCCTGAAAAAAAGGTGAGCAAATACGAGCATGCGTCTGACTGTTAATCTGTGCTCTAAACCGAAGCCTAGGCCTACTTTTTTGGTTTCATACGCGAACTACATCTTACATTGATTTAAAAATTCTCTTGTATAAATTTTTGCGTATTCAGCGTCCCCTTGGTTCATGCACCTCGCATGCTTCAGAGAACGGGAACGAAGCAACATTTGCTGAGGATATGCTACTGGTGTGACAGTGCTTTGTTATCAGACCAAAGCTCGTTGATCTTGCTTCTCAAATTTTCCACAAACTTCTGAATCCGAGCAAAATTCAAACTTGCCACATATTGTTGCAGATGCAGCTGGAGAAACAAATACGCAGATACGGAGGGGCGGCCATGAAAGCGATGTCGGCAGTGCGGGCACAGGACAACATGAAGGACAACAGCACGTTGAGTGTGCAGGAGCAGTTGGAGCACAAGAATCTCGCTACCCAATGACTGCCGAAACGCGTACGAAGACGTGTGCAAATGAGATTCTCAAAATGGGCTCATTCCTTTGTATTTATTTAACCGCTTGCTTTCTGAGGCTGTTCTGCGATGATATACCCAAAACTAGCGTTATTTTTGCTCACTTCTGGAACAATTTGTTGTTGTCATTGGCTTTTTCCAGGTGTTTCGCATTAATATCCCCATCTGTCTTAGTATACTCCCGTGATCTATAAGCTTTGCACCAAAGTGAGACATAAAGCTAACGCATTCGGACTTTTGTCCCGAAACTTATATTACATACTTTGGTTATGGCAAGAAAAAATTCAAGTCCATAAAGCGAACAAAACTGAGAGCGTAAAAAACACACAAAGATATTTCAGAAATTATTCTTCGTAAAGAATGAGGCTTGAATGAAAAAAAAAAAGTTTTGTGCGCGTGGGCAGCGTCAAGCACATCAGGACTGGCCGATACAGTGATGCGTTTCTATGAGTTTTTGCATATGTGCCAATGAAAAAACGCGTATTTTGAAGACCAGTGGTGTGCGTTTGTCGTCTGTGTGCTTGTATATCTGGGTATTTCAATTCGGCAGCTAGGCAAGCTTGTGCATTGAAATTTTGCCAATTGGTTCCTCGGCGAAGTACCACCCCATAGTCCCGGTAGTAATCTTGACGCAATTCTAGGTATCAAGTACGGGCATGTAAAAGTTTTATTTCGGGAACCAGAAAAGCTAGGAGACTGAAATTCAAGGGAAGCCCACGAACAACTTAAAGACCGCCCTCGTCCTCTTCAACATCCAGTTCATTTACATATGTGAATTTTTTGATGAATGACCGCTTTAGCAACATTTCCACTTTTCAGTGAACTGGAAGTTTGCATTTTTATGCATTTTTGCATATATGCAAAATGCTAAAACATATATTGGGAAGAGGTTCTGTGTGTGTGTGTGTGTGTGTGTCGGTGTGTTCGCACTTTTTGTCACCCACTTTCAACTCAAGAACCAGAAAAGCTAGGAGGCTGAAACTTTGGAGATATTTGCTCATACCACGCGCGATTCTCCCTTTTTAATTTCATCCCCCGCGAACGCCTGGGTGCCGCATAGGGGCGGTTTAAAAAAATATGCAAGTTTTTTTGGGGGAAAGCGATCTCGGAAACCACACTAGCTATGGAATTGAAATTTTGTAGAGTCATTTCCTGTGCATGTACCAGCTAAAGATCTAAAATTCAGGCCCCAGGTATGCGTGGTATTCACGCAAAGGGCGTATGGAAGTTTCTGCGGGAAAATTACTAACTCGGCAATCAGAAAAGCTGGAAGGCTAAAATTTTAGAGCGATACTCCCTGCCCACGTATTTTCGAGAAGCTGCCTGTGTGCATATGTTCAGAAGCGAGTGCATTTTGTTACCCACTTTTAACTCAACAACTAGGAAAGCTGAGAGGCTGAAACTTTGGGTATATGTTCCTACGCGGTGCGCCACTTTCAAGATATTCCCCCATACGCGCCTAGACCCCGCATACGGGCCCCCCAAAGAAATATGTCGTTGGCGAGAAACGATTTCGCGAGTTAGGGCAAGATAGAAAGCTGAAACTTTGCAGAGATATTCTCTATGCATGTGCGAGCTAAAGTTTTTAAATTCAGCTATCAAGCTCGCTTGTGAAGCGCGTACGATCACATCAAAGTTGCGCCTTCGGTACTGGGCTAACTCGAAAACTTGTCAGAAAATAGTGGCTGAAATCTTATCATCGTTTGTCGCCCACGTAGGGAACTGCGAACCTAAAATGAGCGCTGCATTACACTTGCGCCACGATTTAGAGCATTTCAAAAATATTTGTAGTGAATTCATATTCCGCTTACTGCAGAAGCTGCGAAGCTGAAAAATCGCTGGAATATTCTACTCTCAAGTACAGTCTTAATTCTGCTTGGAGCTAGAATTCCTTGCAGGTAGGCGTGAGAAATACTCGACTTTACCGGAAAATCAGAAACGAGTACATTTTGCAGCGAACGACCGCCTCCCCTCTCTACCAACACCCAATTCGTTTACATGTTTAGATTTTTTGACGGACGATCGCTCTAGCAACATTTCCACTTTTTAGTAAAGAACTGAAATTTTTGCACTTTCAAAAATTTGCATTTTTCCTTTTTCCAAAATGCGAGTACTCACCGAAAAAACGACCTGGCCTCATGCAAATTCAGACAGAAACGCACCAGGCTTACCAGTGTAGTCAAGCGTTTTTGCACTAAGGTCGCGGCCGCTAATAGCAGGAATAATCCATGCGCTGCAACACTTGGGCTCACGTTGGCCATGCTTTGGTTTTTCCCGGCATGCACCAAAAAAGGCATCGGTTGGGATAAGAGTGTTGCGTTGTAGAGCTTCATGGACCTGCAGGTACATGATTACCTGTTTTTATGCGTTTTTGCTTACATGCAAATTGCAAAAACGCATATTGCGACGACCCTGTGTGTGTGTGTGTGTGTGTGTGTGTGTGTG